GGATATTAAGAAAATTCTCACATAATCATACTGACTAATGTCTGATCTCATAAAAAATTACAAAGGTACTTATGGAGTTTTTAATTTTTAACAACTATTTTATGGAGTTCTAAAAGGTCCTAATTACAAGATTATTTTAGGTCATTAAAATTGATAAACGACATGATATTAATGGCTGAAAATCAGTGCATATAAGTATTTTTACTCATATACTGCACATAGAAGTTTATTTGGGATGAATTGAAAGAGTTATTAGTTTTGGGGTAGAGTAAATTTGAACAAAAGCAGCACAGATATTTAGTTCAAGGAGGAAATAAGGGACACTTGGTTGTACCAAAATTTGACTCAAGGGTGAATAGTAGAGACACATTTATCAATTTGAAGAATATGTCTTCCCTGCTGGATTTCATACTCCTAATCAACTGTGTCTTTTCCGCGTTCTTTTGACAAGGATGACCATTTTCAGCATTTGCTAATTTTTTTTTTTTGGAGAGCTCCAAGAATGTGTTTTTGGATTCTTCAACACTTACAAATTGATATTAATTAATTTTTTTTTTCAATTAGGGGAGAATGACGTAGAATAGATCCAACTTAGATTTTCTAAAATGCTTAAGAATTGCATTTCTAACTAATCTACAATTTCTATAATTTATTCCAATAGCATAGATAATATTATCTTTATTAGCTTTTACAATTTAATTCACAGTTTAAATTCTTTTTAAAGTTTTAACTGTTTTATTAGTTAAGTTAAAAAAAATCAGTCAAAAAAGAAATTGTTCCTATTAGGATTCGTTAACTACATCTAGATCATGGTTAAATTTAAAACTCTATAAGTAGATATACAATTCTCTTTCAAGATCAGCCATGAGCCAATAAATTATTTTGAGTTTCTTCAATACCTCCATTGTGTGATTCAATCATGTCTTAACCATGATACTTTAGAAACCAGCATAGATATTATGCATAAGGAATCCTGGGTGTTGATCCCAGTTATTTTTCGGAATTTTTATCACAATTTTTAGGAGGGAATGTGATAAGTAAAATATCCCTAAGTAGGCAAATTAGCTCAAATTTTTTCCTACATCACACAACCAACATAAAGTCCACCTAAAGTTATTATTAGTTTCAACACAAGATACTATTTCCCTAACTAAGTTTTTAGGTTAAAGTGCATGTTTGCAAGCAAAATCTAGAAGACCTTGTACAACTCAAGGTCCATAACAACATAACATGTTGTGTACTCTACCAATAAGTAGTAATCGCACATTCCCCATCGACAGAAACATCAATTAACAAGCACCTAATCTTATACAAAATACTTAATTGACTCCCTACAATAACGTTTCATAACCAAAACAACATTGATTGAAGTCAATAATACATGCCAATGCATGCATATCCATTTCTATGTGTGACTATACTTTAAAAAAAAGCCATATTAAGTGTCCAGATCACCTTCAAATTATCTTCCAATATGCGAGTAAAATAGTTCTGTAGCTCAGATCCGCGAAAGTAGGTCAAGATTTCCTGCCAATCAGGTGGGTTCTGGAAAGGAAAATCATCAGAAGGGTGAGCATGTACACATCGAGTAGCAATCATAGATGAAGAGGAAAGTGTATCACATTGAAACGACCCAAATTTGGTTTAAGTTTTCCAGCTAAAACTTTAAGTGCGGTAGATTTCCCAATGCCATTGGTTCCAACCAAACCAAGAACTTGCCCAGGCCTAGGGACTGGCAATCTGGAAAAAGATATTATCACAATCCCAATTATAAAGAAGAAAAGGGTCACCATTTAGAAAGCAAAGCAGTTTAACAAGAAAATGATAAAGATATTGAAAACCTGTGCAACTTAAAGGTATTGGGGCCATAGCGGTGAGTTGTATCTTTATCCAAATCTCTTGGCAGGTTGATGATTTGAATTGCTTCAAAAGGGCATTTCTGCATGAATGGAATCAAAGCTCAGTTTACAAATATAAATATTGAGACAGAGACAAAGGTTTGAACAAATATGAGTTACACACCTTGACACAGATACCACAACCGATGCACAACTCCTCTGATATGAAGGCAATCTTGGACGCAGGAGTAACCTCAATACATAGCTTCCCTGAGAGGAAAAAGAAAGGGAACAAGGAACACATAATTGGAATTTTAAAACAAAAAGGAAAATCAAAAATGAAAAAGCAAAGGATCCACATTCATGTGAAATAAACACAAATAGCAACCATTGATCACCAAGAGAAAAGTACAAAACCCTCATGTCCTAATAAAATCATGCATATTCCCAGCAAGGACCTTTCAATCACAAACTAAAATATAATAAACAAAACTTCATACTTATTTTATGAACGAAGGATGTAACACAAACATGAGAAAAGAAACATATGATACCGGTTTTGACAACAGGACAACTCTTCTTGCATTCCTGGCGACATTTCTTGGGCTTGCACCTGTCTTGGCTCACAATAGCAATACGCGTTAAGCGATCTGCCATCTCTCTCTGCTCCTATAACCTATACGCACACACGTAACACCAGAGTGAGAAACGCTGATCCAACAATATGAACAACAAAGGGTGCTCATTCCCCCTTCTTTTCACTTCCTTTAAAACGTAACGGATTATTATCATAAATTAACAAATAAAACGCCAAATCAATGAAATTAGAGTAAAACATAAATGAAAACTTCATCATTTCAATTGAGGAAACAAATAAAATTTAACAAAACAAACTGATGCTTTTGACACAGATTTGAAGGATACAAGGAGAAGTTTAGCGGGATCACTTACAGGGCCAAGATTCACAGCTCAGATATGGAGAAGTGCAAAAAGAGCAGGCGCTGATAACTGAGTGCTAATCTACGAACACGAACTGATTGTAAAAAGAAAATAAGAGAGTAATATCAGGGTTTGCCAGAGACGGAGACGAAGCGGCCGGTCGGGACCCTTCCCTCGCCCCACGCCTCACCAACTGATTTCCCTCCACCACGACGGGGGCAGATACCAGTTTACAACGTCCAATTTATGAAGATAAAAGTAAGATAGTAGAGTAGAGGAGGATTACCAGTAGATGCTTCTGAGCTCGACAGAAGTTGAGGCCGATTTCTCAAAAGGTTTTGATGAATTGATGAGGAAGAAGAAGAGTAGATCTGAGATGGAAACAGAGGAAGAAGAGGAAGAGAGAACTCAGATTGCCGTCCCACAGAAGATTTACGGCAGTGAGGTAACGAGGAGGAGGAGGAGGAGGAGGAGGAGGAGAAGAGAGCTTAGCGTGGCCGCAGAAAACTGAAGAGGAGACGGTAGACCGTGGCATACACATGTCCCAAAGGATACAAAAGTAAATATCTCATTTACAGAGGTATTATAGGTATTTTATCCCTAAATTTCATATTTAATTTTTACTTTAGAGCTCAATTTTAAAGTTTTAAATTATAAATTTAAGATTTAATTTATTCTTAATAAAGTTTTATCGTTTGTTTATGAATTTTATTATGCGAATAAATGTTAAATAAGTGAATGATTAATATAAAATTATATTTAAATATTTTTATTTATTTTAAATTACAGAATAAAGTCTATTTTATTTTTTATTCTTTCTGTATAAATTATTAAATTTTTTATTCATATTTTTTTTAATATTTTTATAAATATTTGAACTTATAAGCATTTTTCACTTTTAGATACCTTATAAGTTAAATAAAAATGTAATATTTAAATGTATTTTTAATTATTTTTTAAAGGTTTATAAGCTTTAAAAGTTAAAAAACTTCACCTACTTCTAAAGTAAAAATAATTAAGTTGAAACTGTAAATTATATATTTTTTTATATGTATTCTACTAAAAAAATATTATTAAAATTTTCACAAAAATTAGTATTAAATAATACTAAAAAGACAAGAACAATATATTTATAAATAAATACAGTTTTATAAAACTACTTAATTTAATTAAATAGTAATTGAATATGAAGAAGATTTCTGTTCTATGGAATCAACCATAGGAAACAGTCATAAATATAAAGTTTGATGTCTCTTTAGGGTAGGAGGTTTGGTTAGATTAAAGTTGACTATAATTTAAATGGTATAAAATGTTACTCATAAAGATGAAGGGCATTCCAAACCCAAAATTAATAGAGACAGTTGGGACATTAGAATAGGTAGTTAGAAAAGTCATTAGGTGGATTAAAATTTGTTTTAAGCTTGATTAGGAATAGTTAATAATTAAGGTAGATCAATGTGTTTGTCTTCTACAAAAATGAATAATATGGTAATTACCATGCTTTATTTCAATGGAAACACTTTAATACTCAAGTCAGTAAAGAAAGTAAAAAAAAAACAAGCTTAATAAATATGAGAATGATGTTTGATATCAACTTTATTATAGCATTGTGACATTTACCTTGTGTATTTTTATAAACCTTCATCAAAGAAATCCTAGTTGAGTTGGTTGTTAGATGTCCTACCACTTACTTATTCCATACGTACCTCACTTCACCACTCACTATGCTACGTGTCACATACCTATTCATCTAGTTACATTCTTTTATTATATATATCAATTTTAATTAATAAACATAAATTAAATAGTTACATTTTGGTTTAGATAACCTATAAATAAATTTTAGGATATTATTTTTTTTACACAACATAAGAAAGAAAATGAAGTACGGAGAAAGAGTACAGGTGCAAGAAAAAGAAATATCCTTACTTGTATTAGAAAAAGAGTAAGAAGTATTCCTACTTTTTGGTGAAGCTCTAAACTCAACTTAACAGTTCATGATTAGATTTCCAAACACACTAATATAGTTAAATTGTTATATTCTTGAGAGGATAAGTCAAGGTTTCTAAGCTCATCTTTTATATATTCATGTATTATACAACTTTAGATAACTTGAATATCCTTAAAAATAGAAAGATATTTATACCTCAGTCTTGACTAAAATTTTATTTTGATATATATTGGTTTCTGTATTCTCCCTTACTTTTATAATGTCACCAACAACTGTAAGGAGAGCTCAATGGAGATTATGTATGATATTAGAACTAAAGGAAACATTAGGATCTTAACAAATCATCCCATTTTGATGGAGCTCATTTCAAGAAATAGAAAAGAAATGTAGCATTATACCTCATTCTTCTCTATATATCAATTTGTATAGTAAGAAAGATTAGAGGAAACTTATACTAACAATATGATAAACAATTAATTTATTACTCATCTTAAAAGATAGACAAATATGGGAAAAATAAGGATACTAATCGATACTATCTTTTGAACTTTTTTTTTGATAATTTTTACTAAAGAAAATATAAAATTTTATAAAACAAATATGATATAGAAGAAGTTAGTATGAAAATATAAGTTCTAGGTCAATTTCTTTTGCTTTTGAATGGTGGTAAGTCCATTAGATAGTGGACTCAGCACATTGTGACGATAATTAGCAATATTCGATGGAAATCTATTAAGATTAGTAATAGTCTTATTATTTAAGGAATTAATAACAAATTGTCATCATCTTAGAAAGAGTTTAAAAACTCATGTGACATAAATAAAAAGAGACTATTCTTGAAGCCTTAACAATGGAATTTAGGCTAACGGATGAATAAGGGGGTCAAGATGCACTCATGGGCTAAAAGAGTTATGAAGTCGTCACCGGTAACAAGGTAAATATTTTTCTATAAATTATAATATATTTGATTTTTGTTTTTCAAAAAAAGTGATAAATTTAGAATTAAGAAGAAAAATGGGAAGCATTTTAGTAGAAATTAAAAAATAAATAAAAATCAAACATGTAAAAGACAAGAATTTTTCCTTGCGTGCACTGTTTATGAAAAAAGCAAACATATTGCTCGAGTTTGCAAAATTTTATAAACATAAATTTATAGTTCAAATAAACATAAATGAGATGCCACTTGTGACAGTGATAATCACATTAACATAGTGCAAACTGCTGATGGTTGATGAACTAATTTTTGTATTTTAATCACTCTATTTATTATGAGAAAGATTGAGTTCAAAAATCTTATTTCTTCAGGACCCCAAGAACAATCATCCAATGAGGAAAAGCTAAAGAATAATTTTCTTTTAAATAAGGCTAATTTTAAATAACCACTGAATATGATCAATACACAATCATGATAAAATGTCTTTTATGGGCAAAAGATATACATGTGATAAGATTCAATATTGAGAATAAACTATCATCTTCATCCACTTTTTCTTTTGTTTAACTAAAAGATGTGAAAAATACAAATAGACTCATAAGGGCATTCAAAAATTTGAAAAAATATATATAAAAAAATACTCACTAATATTTTGATAGTGTTACAGTGATTAAATTGAATTAAATTTAACGAATTTATTATATTTTTAGACAAAAGAAATATTTTGAACGGATAAATTTCTCTAGTTGAAATAATTAAAATAAATTAAAAATTTGATCTAATTTTTTATTTATATAAAAAAAATTAAAGAAATATTTTTAAAAAATTGTACGAGACTTTATTACAACAATAATTCAACAATTAGTATCACACATAATCTAGTACAACACAACGTATAATACAATGTCTCTAGTTGAGAAACATATATTACAAATAAGAAAGATAGAATTAGTCTATTTGTCTTTATTTAAGACCGAGAATGCTCTGTGTCTTTTGTTTTCGGTAATAAAACTAGTTAGATACAAGAAATGCAAAGAAAAAAAAAAGTTAGATGGAGGCATGAAATGCTGATGGGGGACTCGAATCCTCAGGACAAGCCTTCTTTTTCTAATATCAAAGAGACTTCGGCCAAGAGCCTATCTACCATTTAAATCTAAATGGTCACAATTTTTTTACTTTTAGGTGGTTTACTGAGGCACTCAATATTTGATTCATATCAATTTAAATGGTGATTTTTTTTCTATTCTTAATTAATACCATATATGTTTTTATAGATTAGGTTAAAAATCAGTTTAGTAATTTACCCATTAAACAAATAAAGGAGAAGCATTTATACCCTCTAAATTGATACTCTGAATAGTTACATTGTCATCTCCCAAATAATTAAGTTTATCAATGCATGTACAACGGTTGTCAAACCACATGAATGAGTTAAAATATAAATAAACTTCAAAGACAATTAATTAATTTTGTTAAGAAATGAGGTCAAACATTTACCAAAATTTTCTCTGGTAAAAAAAAAAAAGCAGTTGTTCCATTTCCTTTTATTTCCATTGTTGAAGAGTTAAATAAGTGATGTCAAAATTTCTTTTCTAGAGTTAAAACAATCCAGAAGAAAAATCTTTCAATTTCTTTTTTTCCCAAGATGATCAGGAAATGGAAGGCTTTCTCTATTTGGAAGACTAGCTTCTTACTAATAGTCTATTAAATACTATGCTGCACAAGGCCCTTTGCTTTGCATTTGAGAGCAGCTATCAATTCAACCTACTTGGTGCTGGCAATCTGTCAGGAACCAAATCATTCTCTCTCACAAGTTTCCACCGTCTTATGTTCCACAGAGTCCTGTTTGAACTAATAGCAAGTTGACAAAGACAAATCTGCTTTGAGGAAGGGCCTTACCAATGTGGATGATCATCTGCTGCGGTTTGAGGTGGTACCGGTTTCCATCCAGGCTTCTCATCCCAGTACATGTCATAATATATATGACCTGGAGTGTGATTCTCCACGCAACACCAGATACCAACATAACGCTTTACGCGTTTCCTGAATTTCTCTTCCCTTGTCTGAATTAATGTTCATCAATAGAATCAGCAAACTATCATAAACATTTTGGTATTCTTTCAATTCTACTGACATATAACCAGAGAGAAGGAACTTGCCTTGTCAGTAAAACCAAGGAAAGCATCTTGCATTGAAGAAAACTGAATCACTTTGAAATCCTTGAAGGAGGAGAATATTGTCTCAAACTGTATATTACACAAATGAATTTCAACATAATCAGCAAGCTCCATCAAGACATAAGCAAGACCAAGAAATACACTGCTAATATCGTGTGACTGAAATACCATAGAGAACTCAAGAGAGAAAAGTATTTTAATGAATATGTTTGAGCCAACCAGCGAAGTTTCAGATAAAATTAATTAAAAAGCAAATCTGAAGTTTCCACAATGGCACCAGAGCTATCAGGTAAGCTAGCATTGTTTTGAGGAGATACCAATAACTCCAAAGGAATCTAGAATTCTGTCACTCTTTATTAGTTGCACTATAAATGGGAGGTAAAAAGCCAAAACTTTCTCTGGTGTAGCCTAGCTTTCAGATTCAGGTTCTCTACATGTTCTTCGCCAATAACATGAAACCATCTGACAATCCAAAACTCTGATTTTCTGCTTAGAGTTAACCATCAATCACAGATTCAACTATGAAGTCTAGGAAGAGAAAGACAGAAGACAATCCAAAGAACTTGAAGTGATCCAAGAAAATATGAAAGCTCCAAGTTCTAAAATTGACAAGTTGTAGAACTGAATGATGTGAAAAATGTAAAACAGTATCCAAAGGAAAATTGAAATGGGGAGCCCATGGAAAGTAAGCCAGAGCCTTGAAGTCCTTCTGCATCTTCGGATTGAATAAAAAAAAATGGTCATACCAACCTAACCATGACAGTGGGTCACTGGAGCTATCAAACCGAGGAAATTTGAGTTTGGTGAAGTGTAGAACCATTGCTCTATCATGACCGTCATTGCCGGTCGGTTTTCCAACAGCAGGATGGTTTCCACACTGATGTTCTTCTAGTTGAACGATGCCTTCCCTCTATTCCTGGTTTACTGTGCAACCAGTAGATAATTTTTCCAATTGTCCAGCTAGAAGTTCAAACTTGAGGTGATCCTGCACCTGATCTTCTTTCTTGGTACATTTTCACAAAAGACTCAAATAGAGAGTGTAAGTCCCACATAACTTTTGGCTCTGCTACCAATTTGTTATCGTCTCGGTTATAGGATTTATTTATGGGTTCACTTACATACAGATATGTGAAATTTTTAGAGTGTTTTTTCGTATTCCTTCCTTTACTTATCTTTAATCTACTGTAAGGACTCGATAGGAGAGAACTTACAATCTACTAGAGTTTCAATCATTTAAGAAACTTTTTTTTGATAATTTTTCAGCAAAAAACTAAACAACAACAGCATAGGATTTTTTACATCATGAAGAAGCAGCAGTTAGAAGCAGTTATCTGGAAGTTAATTCCAGACAACCAACTTCCCCTTTGTTTCCTCCCTATTTTTCTCCTACTAACATTCATCTTACTTGGTAAAAATACCACATAAATACCTACTGCAGCCCCTACATCTATTTAAATAATCCACACATAAACACACATAACATACATAATACTGCACATGGACCTATCTGCTAATTATATAACCATTTTACTACTTACCATTATCTAAATACCAGTAGGATACACGCTGAAATACAAACACCATAACTTAGTTACCTTGAAAATTATAGTTATAGAGTTATACAAAAGAATTTTTTGTCATCATTTATCTCAAAATTTTAAACATAAAGAAGAATAACCCAAGCTTTTATTTTATTTTAACAGGGCTATTCACAGAGAAACCTACAAAGTTAAAAATGTAGGTCAAGCACATGCACATGATATTTTGCATCAAAATTTATTGTTTGACATAATATGCTGTCAGAATGTGTAACCCTAACCTCTGAATCTAATACCATGCGTCCATGTTGAATAAATCCATACCCCTACATACACCAAGTTCCTTCATGCTTCCTAACCTTTTCTTTCTCTCATGGGTGGGATCAATCAGATTTTGGGTCTCCGTTTTGTTATATCAAGACCAACAACTGCCACCATCAATTATTAATAGTTTATCACCATATTGCCACCATTACCACTACCACCATCAATAGATCCAACATGATAGTAGTTAAGAGAAACAAAACATATATAGGCTCCTCTTCTTCTTTTTTCCCCTCTTTATAGACTATTTACAAGAGGCAATGCCCCTAATTTGTATTTTATGAATTATCGTGATAGTCATGCATCTTGCAACCCTTTTTCCTTTAGAATCTTAATGACTGGGAATAGTCAGATCTTGTATCCTTGATTAGTTGATTCCTTTTTATCCCTGATGTAGTCTTGAACATAGAGTTTGAAGCCTCAATTCCTCAAGAGTTACAATTGCAAATCCTTTTTTATTACAAACAGCCCTACCAACCACAGCACAGATTTCTCACTCTATTTTTCGAAAGTGGAAGCTCCCATGGTTAGAGTTCTATTTAAATCACTGCTACAATATAATATATATTTTCTACATAGCTAATTTCTAGTATAGATTTTTCTTAGATATTTATTTTTCCTACTCATGGTTTTCCTTTGCCTGTCATAGTAATTCCTACAAACATGTGTATATTTTCTTTTGAACAATACATAAAGGTCACAATGTTTTCTCAACAACAATCATAATCCTGAATACGATGAATACAAATGAATTGTTTCAGGCTTGCACGTGCCATAGAGCTTTTTATCTGTTTGATGTGCTTTCAGAGTTCAAAGTACAACCAGTCACTTATTTCTTTATTGTTGGATGGCGTAGAAGACTTGAAATAGGTTATTTCCATCTAATGTCTTATGGGGGTGTCTCTTCCTGACTTGGAGATCATTCTTTTTGGCCTTTTTGCACGGTTTTGATTGGGGTAAGGAGTATTTTGTGTTTTGTACTACTTGGATTTTGGATCCATCAACGATAATAGAGTACTAGAATTTCAATAGTCAGCTCATTTATTTAGGTTATGCTTTTGTTCCTTGCTTCTCTTTGAGCTAAAGCCCATGATTCTTATAAAGGGGCCTTGTCCACATTCCAAAGAGGTGGGATGCTATCTTTTCATTATGCATCTTTTCATTCTACTGGTTTTTTATTTTTGCTTTTTCTGTTGGAAGATACCTTAGCATCCCCCCTTTGTTTGTAATTATTTTCTCCATTCTCAATAATATTTCTTTTTCAATAAAAGAAAAAAAGGACCTACCTACCAAGGATGATGGGTATGGTGCGGGTATGGTGCCCCAGAAACGCAAGCCAATTCTCCTAGATTGATAAGAACAACAAACTTCCAAGTTCTTGAGACTGTCAACTTAGATTTATAGGTACAGGATTTCAAACACCCAAGAAAATTAGCAAACAACTAGAACTATAATGAAAAAAAATGGGACAACAACTTCAATAACTAATATCCCTGGATCCCTGCAAATTTACCCCGTCAGTCCCACCCACCTACTAAAAGGTTTCCACTAAAATCGGTTTCACATCTGCACTGCTATTACATAATTCCATATCTCAAAACATTCAGACCAGACATTTCATTGAAACTGACACTAAATGGCCTCAAAAACCAAAGTTTCACCTAAGGTTTTTTTCTCAATTTGCCTACAATGTGTGATAGCATCAGGATGAATAAATAAGTAAATAAACATGTAAGCTTACATGCTACCTGACAGAAAACTAAAGAGCAGTAAACCAATTCTCTATTTCAGTAGCTGGTCACCAATACAAATGTAAATGTTCATATGCTAAAGCATCAGCAAGGTAAAGCAGATGTGCATCTCATTCAAAAGCGGGATAAAGGACTATGATTATTTTGAACAGGTATGTATCACATGCACAAACATGTCAGCTTGTTGAAGTAAAAGAATCACAATACCGTTTCTTGATTGCTATGTTTTGGAAATTTGAGAACCCCCAATGGGCTTGTATCATTTGATGCACGACAACCGTCGCTTCCTCCTTGACAAAGATGAACATCAAGCCATGATTCCTTAACCTAGAACAAACATCAGAAGTGAAGTCTTGGCTGACAGTTACCGAACACCAAAAGGTAATATTTTAGTTACGTTCGATTACTTGTTTGGGCAATGAAGGATTGTCCAGAAAAGAATACTCTCTGATACCAACTCTGGGTCCAAACTCCTCTGGATGTTCTTTTAGCATGACATTAACCTGCAGTGCACCTTTCCTTGTATTATGAGAAAATCACATTTGAAAAAACAAAAGAAAAAAAAAAGCTTTTGCAAACGGATTCCACATTAAAGATTGAATTCATATTATACGAGTTATGTCTGTCAGAGTTTCCATCGACTTGAAGTTCCACGAAAATGTGCAAAATTTTACTAAGCTGAAAGTTTAGACTTCTTGAAGATCATAAATTATTCAACTACTGAGGGATTTGGGATAAACTTGACAGTTCTTTTTCTTTTTTTGAAATAAATGCCTGAGGTTTGTATATTAATGAGGTGCCAAGGAGACATCGCCCATATGCAAAATTTACATGTCAATTAACATATTACAATGTAACCAAAATCATCCATACAATCAAGATTATGTCCTAAGATAGTAAAGCCAAAATAATGAAACCAAGTATCCTTGATGGTATTAAAGTCAACTTCTTTCCCCTCGAAAGAACGGTTGTTACGTTACTTCCAGATAACCCAAAATATAGTGAGAGGAATGATTCTAATGGCTTTTTTCCTGCCACTAATACCTTCCCAGACCAACAATTCAGAGATAGTAGTGCCCCCCATAACATAGGACAAACCAAGGAGACTGAGAACCATGGACCAGAGTTTGTATGATATAGGGCAAGGGATAAACTTGACGGTTCTTAGATATCACACCTAAGAATAGAGATAAAAATAACAGAAAATTAACTAGGAATTATACTTAAGATTCCTTAAGCATCTAAGATAAGGTGGTTCCTTAAATCACACATGAGATATGATCACATCAGACAGCTAAGGTATGGAGAAAATTGTCAGAATGTTTTATTCAATCACGGCTTATTAAGATATTGTCAGTGCTTAGATATAAAATCCTAACCTAATCTTTATTGCATGGGCTCGGGCAAAAGTGTCCACTACAGTTATTTATCAAGTGTTTAGCTCGATAACTTTATAATCCAAGATAAGATAATCCTTGAATAAGAGTCAAAAACTGGGTGCTTGTTTAACTAATGGAAAATAATACAACTAATGTAAGCCTACAGGAAGCTGAGACAGTACCATATATAGAGCAAAAAGCAGTTTTAGAACCCAACAGAAAAACGTATTCTAATTTGTAATGAAAAGAAAGGAATTGATATGAATTAGTGATATAAACAAATTGAGTATTTATTATACAAACTCGTTAATCTGGACATTGAAGAACAAGTTCTTGTTAAAGAAAAAATTATCTGTTCTTTCTGAATTCCTAAACTAGGAGTCACGATCGGCTTCAATTTATAATATATCAGAACCTCTAATTCTATATCACCACGTGTCCCATTTGCACATCAATTGTCAGATATAGGATCCTATGTCCACACCAATTTTGACACAAACTAGAGAGTCAAACAACATAGATTATAACTGAAGTGTTCTAGTAGAAAACCTAATACTTAAAGAATTTAGGCTTAGTTTGGAATAAATAAAGACAGAAATGGACTTCATTTAGAAATGAATTCTATTTTTGATATTTCATTTTGTTTTATGTAGATTAGATTACCCCATTTCTAATAAATTTAATATAAATTCATATCCTTTATACTGTTGATTAATATAATTAATTAATTCTAAAGCTATTTAATCTTATTTCAGTTATGCTTGATGAATAAATAAATTTATATTTTCAGCAAATAAAAAAGAAATTTTTTTGAATAAATAAATATATGTACATATATATTTTAACTACAGTTTTTTCATTTGATTCAATCTTCTATTAAATGTCTCAATATGCAAAATAATAATAGAATACTATATAATCATGAGATAACTTTTTCTATTAACATATATCTTAATAGACCTAAAAAACTGGAGAAGTAATCATATGAAGTAAAAAAATGAAAGATAATAAAAGATAGATTACTGAGACTTACATGTATACACATACACACAATCTTGCAACAAAATTTGTTTGATATATTAAAAGTGAGTTAAAGTTAGATTTCCTCGAATTCTGTGAGAGTTTAGTGTCAAGGGAGGGAATAAACATATAATAGTCCTTTTAATCAAATTATGGAACTCATCACAAAATTCAAATTTGAAGAGTACCATATCAATTCCACATGGAATTCATTTCCAAATGAATTCTTCAATTTGGGACGATTCTACTTCTTAAAATAGGACTTGTAAATGAATTCCACAAGATTTTGTGGATTTCATTTGTTCCAGACAATAAAAGTAAAATCCTAAAGCTACTAGTCTTAATCTCACCCATATTAGGTACCATAACTTGTAGATTATATGGAAATACAATTCTTAATTTATTTACAAATTCTAAATCAACTCTATTTCACATCATTCTCTTCTGGTTGGAGAAAAGTTATCTATGAGTTTTGAAGTTTCAAAGTATCCAATGACAGGATTTTGAACATTTACCAAAAGAAAGGGGTAAAACTTGCACTTGAATATACTCATTTTTTTTAGATAAAAAGTATGCAGTATACACTAATATGGTACAAAAAAAGGGGCTACCACCCATGTACAAAATTTACAATAGTGTTAAAATATCTATGACATTCCAAAAAATTCTCATCACTAATAATGTCATGACCTAACAAAATAAACCCAAAATATAGTGAATCCACCTATCTCTTATTTTGTACATACTACTCTCAACACCATCAAAAGTTCTAAAATTTCTCTCTTTCCAAAGGACAAATAAAATTGTAAGTGGAATTAGATTTTCAATATTTCTTTTCACATATAAACCATCTCAAGCACAAATTTCCATACCAACCGACCCAGCAATAACCCACTCAATCCCCAAGAGACCATGTACCATACACCAAAGATTGTAAGGCATAGGACACCACAACAGTAGATGATTACATGTCTCCTCTGCTTGAAAACAGCAGTAACAACCATTTATCAAAATCTGCCCTCTAACACTGAATTTGTCAATAGTTAAAATCTTCTCCCAACAGCCCTCCCAAGCGAAAAATGCAATACGTGGAGGAGCCTTGGTCATCCAAATTTGCACAGCCGGGAAGCTTGAGCAATCAGTATCATCCCTAGCACACAGAAACCTACAGTAAGAAGTGACAGAAAATTCCCCCTTCTTTTCCAGTTTCCATACAACCAGATCATCGTTTGTCTTCAACTGTTGTGCCTCTAGAATCTTCAATAAATCTCCGTATTCACTAATCTCCCAATCATTCAAGTTCCTTGAAATAAAAACCGACCATTTTACTTTCTCCTTAGTGACTCGGTAAGCCTCCTCAACAGCTATTTTCTTATTTTGAGCTATAGCATATATCCTGGGGTATCTCCTCATAAGACAACCCTCACCAAGCCATTCATCCTCCCAAAAACTGATCTTGTTGCCTCTGCAAAGATTCCACTTTATACATTGCTGGAAACGAGGCCATTGTATTAGGATTTTTCTCCACAACCCTCTCCCATGAGGAGTATAGATTCTGCTGCCACAACTTTTTACCATGTACTCACCCCACTGAGAATTCACAATTTTCTCCAGATTCAGTCTCTCCCCTAAGTATCTCCATAACCACTTCTTTGGAGCGCTTCATTCAATATAATCATGGATCTTATACCAAGCCCTCCATGGTTGTTGATCGGTTTTTTGATATCATTCCATTTTACCACATGAAATTTTCGATCCTCATCTTCATCACTCCAAAGAAACCTATTTTGTATGGCTTCCAACATCTTTGCTGCATTTACCAAAATTGTAATGGTAGAAAGATAATAAATTGGAAGATTGGCCAAGATACTTTTTATTAAGGTGTACCTATCCCTTTTAGAAAGGAAGTTTTTCTTCCAACCCGCAAGCTTTTTTTCGAACAATTCGATCACTGGTTTCCAAGAGATTTAATCTTTGTATTTGGCTCCAAAGAAACCCCAAGATATTTAAAAGGAAAAATGTTGGGAACATCTGCTATTGTACATTTTTGAGTCCCAATATGTTAATATTTCCTCTAAGTTATTTCTCCTCATAGGATATCAGCCTGGGAGAGATAGTTTGTGGCGAAGAATTAATTTTCCCTTTCCTCTCTACTCTCTCTTCTTAACTTGTCCAAAATCTAACCTTTTCTCCTTATTTCTCCTCTTCTCATCTCTATCGGCAATACTGTGTGAGGTCTATCGACAGTTGGGTCGGCCATACCTCCCTTTTTAATCGGGTCAACTGTTGATTCTTTGATATGGGGTCTTTTTTCTGTTGAGTCATTGGGGCTGAAGGGCTGGAATTAAGGTTTTTATTTGAAATCATTGAGTATTTGGGGACTATGGAAAATGCATGAAAAAAGTTTTTCTAGGTTGATCATAAATCTTTTGACGTGATTGGTAGTGGAAAGAACAATGAGGTGATTCGTATATGCGAGAAAAGAAGGGGTTTTTGAGCTGTGATTGCTCTGGAAAACAACGACATCAAGTAGATTGTAGATGCTTTTGCAGATTTTTATTGGAGAAAGGTGGTAAATCACGGGGAAAACAATTTTCTAGTCATCAACGCAACCTTTCTACGATGCTAGGAAGAAATAGAGGTGGTCGTTTCCTGGTGTTGATGGAGGAATATGGAAAAAAAAGAAGAAGAATCTTCATTCCGGAGGGCTTGGAAGCTAGTGGTTGGTGGAGGATGATGAAAGCAATTTATGAACTGAATGGAATGCCATTATCGAATCCAGATGTGCAGAAATAGAAAGTTGTGGATGGAGTGAATATGGGGGTGAGTGGTAAGATACTTATGAAAGTAACCAGCTCGCGTTTCCCGTGTCCTCATTGTGGCAACATCCTGCAAATCACATCATAGATAGAATGTTTCAAATTTTATGCTAAGGT